CCTTAAAGTTGAAGTTCATTCATATTTAAAAAGTTTGATACGTATGTTCTCTATGGGGGTGAAAGAAAGGTAGGAGGGAAAGGGATAACTCCAAAACACACATGCTCGACATGACGCGACGCCCCCAACGTGAGTGGGTTGCACGGGTTGGCACGCGAAACCCATCAACAAGAGGGGAGGTCATGCAAAAGCCATGGGGAAGCTGCCGAAACCCCCCTCTCCCTCCGCCTCCCTCCTGACCATATATCCCCCTTTCTCACCCCCAACCCCCTTTTCCCCGTAACACCCACATTGAGCATGATGACCCACACCCTCATTCTGGTGGTGTAGTCGGAGATCTGGCACAGGATGTAGATGATGGCGGGGGCGGTGAAGCAGTACAACATCCACCTCTGGGGGATGTAGCTGCGGACATGGGGAGTACGAGCGTGCGTGTGTATGCATAGGGGGGGGGGGTAAAAGGGGAGAAGGGAGAATCATTTCTTTCACTCCCACCAGAGAACATACGTATCAAACTTTTTAAATATGAATGAACTTCAACTTTAAGGAAAAGTAACCTTTTAATTTTTACATTTCATTTTCCTTACGCTTCTTCCTTCGGTTCCTCCCCATTGTGTTCACAGTGTGAACTTCACACACCCATATTTCGCTTCTTTTCGCACATCTTCTGATCTTCGCTGCTGGGCCGTCGTGGCTACTGTGTGCCCCACCACTGCTTTACGTTGTTTCCGTTGGTTGGTTGGTTGGTTGGAGGTTCCGGGCACATCTCGCATCCACTGTGTGAGATAGTGACAAACGTGATCGACCTTCACTACCACCAGCACACACATCCTTTCATCAGCACCTCCAACACCCCCGGTGTGTGTACAGCTCCTCTACCCTCCGCGGGATGTCAAGAAAACCTCAACGACCGGACCGGACGACGACTCACGAGACCGGACGACGACTACACCACAAAACATGTTGGTAACGTAATAACGGGTTTTACTTCCGGAACCACGGGTTGCTTGGAAAGTCCGGCAGTTGGGGACTTCGGACGCCTTCCGACAGGCAGCAGTTCAATTCTGATCCTTTTGCATTATATGATTTTCCCCCCTCGAAACAACCTCCCGGGGGGAGGGGGTTAATTAACCCGGCCAGCTCCCCCCCTGTGCCAGACGCCCGCCTCCCTCTCCTCCCCGCTTGTGGACAAACATGCAGACAGACGCCCGCAGTGCCAAGATTTTCCCGTCGTATTCCTTGCTCGTACATCCCTTTCTCTCCCGCCGTCTCTTACCCCCTCCTTCGCCCCCACTCTCTCTCCTCCACCCCCTCCCCCTTTATTACGTCAATGCCGCTGCCAGGCCGGTGGCAAAAACTCTTTTCCAGCTCACGTCAGCAGTTCGTTACTTCTTCGCCGCCTCTGGACCAATTCTTACTTCTTTACGGCTTCGTTATCCTTTTCTCTCCCCCTTTTTACTTTAGTCTTGGCGGCTAGGTAGCTGGGTTTCCGCGGTCGTCTTCATTACATCATCCCGGGAGGTCGCCGCCTCCAGGAACGCCTACTAGTCAGTTCTGCTTCTGGTACACTTTTTACTTGGCAGCAGCTTCACTCGTTCGTGGTTCATCTTTCCCCCTCTCCCCCCCCAACACACATATCCCACATATGTCCCCCCACTTGCCTGCATTTCCCGACACACACCCTCCTCTATCCCGAACACCCCGTCTACCCCTCTATCCCTTCCCCTCCAATAGCCCTGTACGGCACATCCTCACAGGCAGCTCTGTACGTCAGGTACGATGGGCGAAAACCCCGTCCACAACATGGCATAGCTGGTAGCGGCGAGGGTGTTGATGTAGCAGCTGACCATGTGCAGCTTCAACTTGGAGCGGTTGGTCTCGAAGATAACTCTAATATGATAAATGTGAAGGGGGGTAAGGGGGCCGCAAGGTGTGTGTGTATGTGTGTTTGGCGGCGGCGGCATGGGATTCGGGGGAGGAGAGGTGTGTTTGTGTGTGGGAGGTGGGGGAGATTGGAGTCAGGGATCATATGATGATGCAGGATACCGAGGGGTGATTGCCGACAAGTCCAAAGCGACAAGTGTTGGGGGGAGGGGAGGTGTGTGAGGTTTCTCGGGATGACGGCGAGGATGAGGTGGGGTGGGGTGGGGTCCCAAAAACCCGCCATCGGCGGCAGGAAGGGGAAGCGGGAGGGGAGGCTTGGGGGGAAAGGAAGTGGACAAACGAGGACAGAGGGACATAACCGCGGAGGGGGAGGTCTGCGACGGGAATCACGTCAAAGAAACGAGGGAAGGAATGGGTGGGAAGGCGAGCAAGAAGGTATACGTATAAAAGAAACAGATGGTTTGTGAGACAGAAAGCACTTACTTCATCAGCGTAAGGATCAGGTTGGAGGCATACCCGACCATGCACCATTGATAGGAGATGATCAGGCTTCTGCTGGGAACATAGTTCGCGTCGCGCGGGGTGTAGATGGCGTCTACGAAGGCGCAAATAATCCATACGATAGCACAGCTTAAGAGCAGCCGTAGCGTGTGCCAAGCCTCCCGCAAATGCTCGGGCGACTGAATTGTCTTGGTAGGAACAGTAATCGGAGGCGCATGCGGGCCAAAGACCGCCGCTTTGCCATTTATTCCCTGAGCCTCCTGTCTCTCTCCGCCGTCCGAGGTTAAATTAAAGCGCTCGCTGCGCGCCGGCTTAGCTGTGACGGAAGCCATAAAGCGTAACTCAGTTGGCGCTCGAGCTCGGGGCGGATGCCCTTTAGAATATATGCATGTTGAGCCGAAAGAAGGATCCCAACTGATGTAATATGCACTTCTTATGATCTTGAGGTTATATGCAAGGTGGACTCCAAAAGGGTCAAGGCCGAACGTGAAAGCCAAAAGCTCCTATGACTTCATTGTCTTGATATCAGCGACATTTTGCCAGTATACATACAGAAACGGTGGAAACAGGCAACAACGCTTTTCACAATACGGCAACCGCCAAAGTTATCTTTCGTATCTGCGTAAATCTCTTCATTAAGTCAGGCTACCTAATATAACAATTTTAGCTTAGGTGTTGGGGTCACCTCCGGATGCAAGGTCTGCGCTGGCTGCTACTGCGCATCGCACAACCCTGTCGTTTTGCATTGCAATGGGGCAGTACTAAGCAATCACCATAACCTGTGCTGCTCATACGCTTTGATGCGCCTTCTTACTCATGACAGGCTAAACGTAGTGGGCAAGATAGTAACTCAAACGGAGCCGTACAGATCGGACGAATCCCTGTGGCAGTGCCTACTTGTTAGGGTTTATCACAAGCTGGATCTTAAATTACACATTCCAGAATGTATGGACATTCTCACGTTGCGCTCATCCCTTATAGGAAGAGGTTAGTCAACCCAGTAAACCCGGATAGCGCGTTACTCGACGAAAACCTACGATTCCCAGAAGCCCTTCAGACGCCAAGAAGGCTCACAGTCGCCCTCAGCAAGTAACAGCAGCTAGAGGAAGCACTAACCGCGGCCTGTATTCCAAGCTCTCCGTGATGTTGGGCACGGCGTGATGATGACCAGAGGATAGCGCCGGGCGAAGCCTGAGTGAGGCCGCAGAACACCCTTCTCCTAAGGACAAAATCTCAATCCCGTTTTTTTCCGGAATCACTTTTCACCATTCCAATCTGACATACGACAGTTTTACATCATCCGGCTGCTGCTGGCAGTTCTCCTGCACATGGAATTGCACACTTTCGCTCACCCCCAACTGCCGAAACGCCAAACAGAAGCAAATGTACGAAAAGATACTCGTTCAGATCAAACCTCGTAAACCACAAAGCGCACGTTCAGAGCTCGACATGTAAGAACAGCTCACGCAGCGCGGGCAGGAACCCAAACCCCTGATCTGATCCTGTGCCCCTTTACAAAGTTCCCCCCCTTCTCTTAGCGGCTATATATTCTCCGCTACAGCAACCGATTCAACTAACAACCAACCGAACATTCCAACACCCCCTAATTCCCACAACAACGGTCCAGCCCCATGCGTTTTCGCAGCTTTTGACAGCAGGCCTAAGCCTCGCCGCACCGTACGACGGCGTTCCGTACCGCATTCTGTACTACAAAGCTAAGCCGCTGTGCAGTACAATGGCAGGAGTAGTGCCCTTACCGCAGGGCAACGGCTCAGGAACGTCATGCCCAGTGGCAGTGTTGCTATTCATTCGTCTCGCATCTGTAGTGAGGGTACTTAAGAGGGCGCACGAGGGATTTGGGTTGGCAGCTTCAGTCATCCTTCTTATTGGCCACCACAGGTGCTGCTGCCGCTGTAACGGCTGCGTGCAGTGCCCCAGGCTGAACCCTTTGCAGCTGTAGCCGTAATGCCGTATTCTCGTCACGTAGTCTGTCAAACTCCGAATCGTAACCCTGATAAGGCAACACACAATCATTACGGCAACACGGCAGAAGGTTGGGTTGAAGACCTGGAGCTGTTAGTGATAGGAAAAAGCCCGAGATCGGATGCCGTTTCTGAGAAAGAGTGTGTTGTTGTGTGTGTTGTTGTGTGTGTGTGCGTGTGTGTGTGTGTGTTGGGCGTGGTGGCGGGAGGAGAAGTTCTGTGCACATGTTTTTCGGCAGTGAGAGCGTTTCGCACACACAGACAAAGAGACCGACACACAAAGCGAAAGAGAAAAGGTCCCCTAAACAGGCACATACAAACAAACATACAAACACAGTCTTCCATGAGTTTTCAGTCTCCCCAGACCCCCTTCCCCGTACTCCTCCTTCCGGGGGACTCGCAGTTCAGTTCATCCCCGGAAAGGACCTGAAGGACTCTCCCCTCTCACTTGCGACACCCCTCCCCACCTCCACTTGCAAGGCCTCCCTTCTTCCCCCCTCTGTCTACCCCCCACTGGCCTTACATACATACATATATGCATACATACATATGCATACATCGTACCTTGACTTGCGACACCATGGCCGTCACTCGTGCATCGGCCGTCTTGGCCGCCCCCTCCGCCGCCTCAACTGCCGCCTGCGCGTGGTCAGCGGTTGTTAGTTAGTATCCGTACATGCCGTTCGTAGGGGGGGAAGGGGGACATGAGGTTCCATTCGACACGCGTGTGTGTGTATGTCTAGGGGCAGTTGGAGGGGAGTTTGGAAGGGCACATCCACACACGGATCATGACCGAATAGACAGACGGACAAACAGACAGGCAGTGGACACACAAACACACAAACAGACACACATAACGGTCCAAACATAAGCCCCCAGGAGCCCAGCGGAGCCACACGTTGGAGGGGGGGAGACGTGAGCCGGGGGAGGAGAGACGAACCACGAACGAGTGAATCTGCTGCCAGGGCAAGAGTGTACCAGAAGCAGAACTGAGCCGGGGGGGAGGAACCAATCAAACACAATGCGGGGGCTGGTCTGGTGACACTACTGCAATTATCGGTTTAAAGGTCCTGGGTTCGATTCCTGGGTAGACCCCCGACATTGTCGGGAGTGTCAGAGTATGGCTCGCTGCTGAGATGTGGAGATGAGGTCACAGCTGATGGACCGAGATTCGCACGCTGGATTTGTTGTGATGATTGCTGAACCCCCTGTCTCTGCAGATGCTCAGTTGCCTGGATGAGGAGAATTCCTAGAAGGCAGGATCATCCGCCTTGGACTTCCAGTTCGTATGGCGTAGTACAGTGTGGTAAAGGTGGATGGTGCTGTATGGTATGATAAATCGTAGGAATGACAAGATAGTTCAAGTGGCCCAGAAGCTCCGTTCGTGGGTTGGTGGTCCTGGTGGTGGTTAGATTATAGGGTTGTTTCCGTAGTTGGCCAACTACCCCTTTTAGTTGGCCAACCACCTTCCTGGTGGGCCCTTTGTGCGGTCTCCCCTTAAGGGGTGCGGCACAGCTGAGTGTCTCTCTGCCTGAAGGGGTGCTGGCTGCTGTCCGGGCCGTGGTAGCGGGCTCGAGGGTTCCTCTTAGGGCCACCCCACATCTGGTAAGACCCAATAATGGGCTGAGAAGGACTTGAACCACTGGATCGACGGAACTTGACAGATGGTCCCACTCAGAACAGTATCTGCCTGCCTGCCTGCCTGCCAGTCAAGTCCTAAGATCCTAGGCAACCCAGGTCCTCTAGTCTCTCTAGACGCGACGTACCACTGCATTGCACTGCTGTGTGAATTGACCCATTATGTGCGGCAGCCACACACCAGTCTCCCCACAATTGCGCATCGTGCCTTCATGAATGTCACCTATCGGAGCCTCGCGCCGCATGGCCACATTGCCACACACCACCCTCCGCTCCCACTCTGTAACACCATTACAACATTATTCTCAACGAGGGGGCGGGGCCCCCGGGGGGAGTACCCCCCCAGTAGGAGTAACCCCCGGGACCGCCTACCCCCCCTTCCCTGCTCCCCCCCTCCCCCTGGCCTGCTCCCCCCCACGTCCTTTAGGGTTTTCTTCTAATGTACTTTGTTGGGTATCGCTTCCGCCCTCCCCTCCTCTTCCTCCCCCTCCTCTTCCTCTTCCTCCCCCTCCTCTTCCTCCCCCTCCTCTTCCTCTTCCTCCCCCTCCTCTTCCTCCCCCTCCTCTTCCTCTTCCTCCCCCTCCTCTTCCTCCCCCTCCTCTTCCTCTTCCTCCCCCTCCTCTTCCTCCCCCTCTCCTCTAAGGAGGTTCTTTTTCAGGACAAGGGCCGCACCCGCACCTCCAGTTGGTGTGGTGGTGGGTATATAAGCTGTGATGGAGGTGGAGGCTGAGTGTGTAGCCCCCTCCCCTTCCCCCGGGATAACGCCAACAGCTCATTGGGTCCTTTGATGTGCTCTGAATTTGAATGAGCTACTGCTAATGCTAATGCTGGTACACGCGTACATACCTACATACATATACCTACATACATACTTCGGCGGTCGTTCCCGTTGGGGTACGGTTAGGTGCCCCTGGCCAGCGTCAGGCCCCGGATCGATGTGTAACAGAAACACATACACATACATGCATACATACATACATACATACATACATACATACATACATACATACATACATACAAACATACAAACACTTGATACAAAAGACAGCTCGTACCTGCAGCTGCTGCTTCTCCGCGATCAGTTTGTCCAGCGTCTTTTTCAGCGCCGCCGCTTCATCTGCAGCCGCAGTTGCCGCCGTCGATTTACCTTCCGCGGCCTTGTCCGTACTGGTGACCCTGTCGTACTCCGCCTGCAGCCCCTTGACCTACGGCAGCCAGCAGGTAGGCGCGAGGTAATGGATAATGTGCGGGGGAGGGCGGGGTGCAGGTGTGAGAGACGGGGGAGGGCGGGGTGCGTCTGTATGCGCGTATGTGCAAAACTATGAGTAGTATTTACTAAACTTGTTTGCTGATGACCGGTGGTACGATGGCGGTGGCAGTGTAAATGGGAGGCGGGGGATGGCCGGGGAGATCGAGGGGAACAAGAAAATGAACCCTCGGGGGATGAAACCCCGGTTGGGGATGAAATCCTTCCCTGGGGGAGAGTAAGGGGCAGCTGGGAAGGGGAAGATGACAGGCGCGGTGTTGTGGTGTCTGCCGGCCCCTTCCTCGCTTTACTTCGCAATCCGTCCCTCCCTGCCTCCCTCCTTTCCCATTTCCCCCCATGACATATCCCTTCCTCTCCCTCTTTCCATTTGTGCGGGGCTGATCGGATGGTGCGTGTTGAATATGTCGTGGTGCGGCGTTGGGCGGAACAAACAAAAGGTTTGGGTTTGGAGGTATTGGGAAGTGGGAAGTAGGAAAAGAGGTCCGTAAGAGGTATCGCTTGCGCCATGCGCCCTCTCTTTAAGACCCGGATACCGGGACATGGCGACTAAGTTACGGGAATGCCGTACAATCACGACGAACAACCGAAGTCAAGGGACCTGTTATCAAACAGCTGCGGCATTGGAATGTGGAGCGTCACATGAGGATTTTCCCGTCAAAGGCTCCTTTGTCCCTAGCGATGCTGCTCACCTGCCGCTGCATCGCTGACAGGTTCTTTTGGGTATGGTCCAGCTTGCATCGCTCAGAGCTCAGGGTTAAGTTGAGGAGTAGGATGAGGAGGTTTGATAGGCTCAGCGCGCAGGAGACCTGTACCCGAAGATAGTCCACGGTCGCCATGACCTCCCTGCACCAACGTTGAACCTTCCGTGCCTTTTCTGCTAAACAAACATTGTATTGTGAGCTGAACGCTCACCCTCGAAGATTTCCTGACCGAATCTTATCCGCGCCTTTCGAGAGCTCAAACATCGATGAAGCACTGAGCAAAGCAAGCGCCCCCATGAGCGTGTAGATGACGGACCGGGAGGCAGTGTTTCGGCTTAACAATCGCAATGTTTGTGACAAGGGCAGCCCTAAGCCTGGTGTGACGTGCAACACAGTCAAAAACGCTTGGAAAACAGCCAGAATGAAAAGCGGCAGCGTGAATATTGTATCCATCTTTTGAAAGACTCAATACAGATAGAAACAAGGATTCGGCGTTTGGCGCCGGTAGTGATAACTGGCCATGTGTCGTAAATGTATGCTGGTGTGGAATTAACTCGGATTGACCCCCAACGCCAGGCGTCCACCAGTTGCTCACCCGCTTGTCCGCTGTGCGAAAGCTGCAGCATGTCCCGACATTTGCAAAAGAATCTCTCCCGCTAATGATCTACCACTACAACCCAACCCTTGCAGGCAGTGGGGAGCTGCAGCGGGTGTGCTGGTAACGCACTACCACGCATCAAAACAGCGCCATTAAATGCTTCCCTACAAAGCCAACTTCCGGAAGGACTTCCAGACAGGGCTGCCTCACCTCAAATTTATGCCGCTGTCGCACCAGAACCAACCCACCCCGTTCAAAGCCATTATTATCTGAAATGCCTCTCCTTCCCCCCTCTTGCTGGCCTCCCCCCGCATCTGTCCTGGGGCTCATTCCCCACCGGGTCCCAACCATAGCTCGGTCGTACATATCTTCCACAATCCGCCTCCACACGGGCGAACTTAAGTTTCCTCCCATCCGGGTTTTCTCTCTCTTATTTCCATGGGTCCTTTCCTCTTCACCTTGCTTCTCCGTACAGAGCACAGTGTGTGTTATAGGGTTGTTAATAGCTCCGTAACCCCGGCCCGTTTCCCCCAAAAATGGGAGCTTCAGAACAACACGTTGGCTCCTCCAACCAGTAACACGACCATCAACAGAAACGCTACGCTTTAGCGCCTTAGCGCATAACTGTTGGGCCGGAACGGTTGCGTAAACGGGCGTGTACATACGTGCTTCCGATTGCCTTTCCGACTGCCAGGTCGGTATATCTGGTACATCTGTTATCTGACCAAGTCTGTATCTATGTCTATACATATGTTTCGTTGGTATAACTGTTTTTGAGAGCAGCACGAAGACAAGGGGAACATCGCTTGCATGTCGTACATTGTGGGATCGTTCGGGATTCTTGCATCTGGATAGCTGTAACCCTTCCAGGCTTTTTGACAATAAGTGCCGCATTGTACGACTGTAACCGCTGACTGTCGTAACGAGTTGTTTGTTTGCCCTAACCAATACCAAGCAATGGTTGTTGGGACGAAGCGCAATTGTGTACAGAGTAGCGATGTAAGGGCTAATTACGCTGGACGGTGCCGTACGGTGCAGTACAGTACACGTGTTGCCCTTTTCCTCAAAAAAATGCGCCCTGCCATATTCAATGCGGCGGGCGGCCAGCGGGAAGGGGAGATCGTGATGGATTGTCTGCCGCAGGAGGGGCCCCCCGATCCTCCTCACCCACCCCCCAGTAGTTACCACATAGCCTCCGCCTGCAACTTCCTCCTGCTCCTCCTCCCCATCATGTCCACCCCTTAGGATTACAACTACGGCCAAGAGCACCGCTCCCGGGTATCACTCTTGACTGACTGCCCACTGCCCCCAGAGCAGAGCAGAGCAGCCCCTAGACCTCCCGAGGGAAACGGGGGAAGAGCTGAAGAGGAATAGCGGTACGACACCGGGAAGGGTGCTTCCAAAGATATTTGGATTAGCAGTGCAGTGGAGGGGAGTACGGAATCCGCCATTGCCGCCATCGCTATCAGCCGATACCCGCTGGTGCTGGTGGTGGTGCTGGTGGTGCTATTATCGACTTAAAAACTTTGGGCTTCGGACTCGGCAGGTAGACAGACAGACAGACAGACGGACACATATTTTGCGGAGGCACTGTGTAAAAACGTGTACTTCGTAACAAGTCCAAGTCCGAGTCCGCACTGTCCACAAGTTCAGAGCACGTACTGGCACTAACCCTGTAGACTGCAACCCACTCCTAATCTGGCCACACAAACCAACCTTACGTCGTCAAAATGGGTTCATGACCGTCCACCTTGGACGTCCACCGCCCCCAACCGTAACCCGTTTTAGTTACCCGCAATTTCCCCCCCAGGGCCAGACATTGACTTTTTAGTCAAGCCGCAGTACACACGGGGCATACACATCCTTGGAAGGTTGGATACTTAAATTCATCATTCAGGGCAAAAAGTCGGCAGAAAAAATGCTCTCGCTGGAAGAAGCTTGCTGCTGCTCAAGAAAAAGCGGACCTTTGAATGATACTGCACCATCTTTATTTTAGCGCCCGGGGGTAATAACCCCTCGCAACTGCTGAAGATTTTGCTTTCCCAACAGAGATAGATACACAACCGGGCTGGCAGGTGGCACCCTCGTCGGTCGTCATCCCACTCCCCATCTCCTCTCCCTCTCTCTTGCTTTTTGCTTCTTGCACATGCTTCCCCCCACCCCCCTTTCCCTCAACCCAGACGGTTACAGCCACCTCCTCTGCACCCCGTGTCCACAGCCACCAGGGCAACCTCCCCCGGCCGCCATTTCGTCCCCTGACAATGAAGTCCCTTGGCCCCCGTCGAGGAGGAGGTGGTGGTGGTGGAGGTGCTTGGGAAGATGGAGGAGGCATTGGCCGCTAGCAGTTCGCTCGATACCCATGACAATTGTTGCGTCACGTTGCAGTTCTTGGTGGGTTGTTACACTGGGGGCGGTTCGCTCCTACAGAGGACGAGCACCGGGGGCCCTGACCGTACCGAAACACAGCGCAGGGCCGGGCGCGCGGCTCCACAATCATCAGTTCCTCCGTGCGCGCCTCACTCCCTTACAAACACCAGGGGGCGCCCTCCCAGCCCCTGGCTAGGCAATACAGCGGCGCAGAAGACTGCGAACCGAACTAAGCGGTTGTTGTTGCTGCGACCGGTTGTTGTTCCTCACTGAGATATTTCCGCAGTGTCCCGTTGTTATCCTCCACGAGCATGCCGCCCTTCCAGCAGCCGGTCGACTCCCCAATGGCCTTGTTCCGCGCGTATTCCTGCTCAACCATTTCCCGATTGCCCTTCCATCCAACGTACCGCGCGAGGCTCTGAGAGCCCAGAAGCCGGGCCGCATGCATTCGAATTTGCTGATCGTCCCATTTACCGCCTTTGAGAAAGTCGTTTGCGATTTCGCGCCATTTGCCCACGCCGTGTACCTCAAGGCCCTTGTACAGGGCGTCTCGTTGCGGCTTGCCCCATTTGCACCGCGGTTGAAGGACGACAATTCGTTTGGGCTTGAAGAATTCCTGGTTGATGCTGCCGTCGGAATTTACCATGCCGGGCGGGCTGTATCGGCGCCTCATTTCTATAACGTATTGTAGGCGGTCCATCTGCAACCCGTAATTGTTGGAGTGCTCGGCAATTGTACATTCCCGTTCGCACTCCATGGCCAGAAAGTTAGCTTAGGGAAACAGCTGACCAAATTGCAACCCAGCGAAAACAGCTCTAGAGAAATCACACATCTATGTCATGGTAGCATCTTCTACACCTCAGCTTAAAGAAATTTCGGAAAGAGCGCCTTTAGGCACCAGCGCTTCAATCCTTTGTTTGCTGGATTGCAACTATCAACGGCCGGAACCACATTTCATAAAACGTACATCCAGGACGACGATCTGCCGGGGATAGAAAGGAAGATTGTCTTCTCTCGATCAAGTCATGCTAATCGCGCCCTCCGCTTCTGCAAGTTTTCCAGATACAGGAGACGGGGCCTGATGTCGTAAGACAGCTACAGGGACTCCAAAATCCTCCCCTCAAAAAGTCTCGTTCCAAGCAAAAACCCTGGTGACATTCGCGCCGAAGCATGAAGCCTTTCACTTGGTGGTCTGAAAGACGTAAACCCCAGGGCTAAGAGGGCGGATTCATCGTCTGTCACCGACGGATGGCTGGCCCAAACTGCCTAATGACGTCTGTATGCGGGATAAGGGTAAAATTGGTCGAGGTTTGAAACGTGGGCGCTTCCCTACCTAAGTGTGCAGAGCCTTGCCGTTCCTAAATAGGTTTTTGGATTTCCTTGACAACGGGCTTCACATCAATCTACTCCCCTTGAAATCTCAAAGTGCTCATGCTTTAGAGGATTTTCTTTTGGCAGCATATCTCTTCACACCCAGTTGAGCAGCGACGGTCATATCCCCTTTCACTCGGTGCTGTGTGAACTCCTTGGCCCCCCTGGGCCCCCTTGCTCGTTGGATGTCTGCGCGCTGGTGTCATTCATATTGCATCTCGTTTCGCATTTACAAACCGATTTTCCAGTGGTTCCTGATCCCGGATGATCTGCATGCTTTCACATGTCCCCCACCCACCTCCCCTCCATCCCCCACCTCTTTCCTTCAGCGGTTTTCCCCTCCCCAGCTCTACCCAATCCATCATGCACATTGTGTACCGTACGGCGTGATGCATGTGCTGCCTACCCTTCTTGCCGCAGGCAAACTCGGAAGCCGGGTCCCCCATCGTGATTCTCCTCCTGCAATGCCTGAGAGGTGAGGAGCTGGACCCAACGGTCACTTATAAGAGAACTTGCACCTTTGTTTCAACATTTACCCTCGATGACATCGCTACCATTACATGGCTGGAGTGTATGTGGACTGCACACGATGCTTGACGACGGATCACTGTATGTTGACATGCACACAATGGGCCAGCTTGGGGTGCACTAAGGGGCAGTCGGATGTGTAATACCCAGTTGTGCACATGGCCGATATGAGCCTTGCCGGGAGTATTTTGCTGATCGATGATGTGATTGTTGGTTTATATGCTTTGGTGTGTGTCTGTCTGTGTGTGTGTTGTGTGGGGGGGGATGTCGTGTGTGTGTGCAGCCAGGGCCATATGGCTTGCACTCATATTGTTGCCAGGTCGATGCTTGCTGGACGCATCATGGTGTGATGTGTGTTGCTGCGAAATGCAAAAACGTCAAAGTATAACCAGGTGCTAATGACCCCTCCGCTTATGTACGGTGGTGTGAACGATACCTTCACTGAATTGTGTGGTGTGCATGTTAGAAGGAAACATCACCCTGTGTGCCGCATCACCCTTAGGAGGAAACATCACCCTGTGTGCCGCATGTTTTTGATATCCTGATATGTGCCAAGGACACATAGTCGATATGATAAGAACTCAACAGGCCAAGGCGAGGCAAGTATGTCTGTATATATGTGTGTAGAGCATAAGTGCCTCCTGGGAGGCGGGTCGGAGCTCGGGGAGTGTTGTAGAGTTCAGACGACACAACCACATAATGGGGGCATCGAAAGATACCGATTGAGACAAGTGTCTTGAATAAATAGTCATCAGTGACTCCACTTGGGCCTCGCGCCGATAAGAATCCCCAGTACGACTGGGCGGCACCGTATCCAGAAGCCATAGTTCGCAGGAACTACTCTCGCTCGGTCAGACAAAACTGGGACGCAGGTCCCAGCTTTACGTAAGTAAAACCCCCGCCCATACACAGGTATGGACTTCCGCAGCGGTGCAGCATTAAGGTGGCGGACGACTAACAGTAGTCGCTTTAGCCGCCTGCAGCTAACAGTAGCCGCTAACATAGCAACGCGCCCATATGCAGATATGGACTTCCGCAGTAATGCGGCACTTGAATGGTGGACGACTAACAGTAGTCGCTATAGCCGCCGTCGCCCATAGACTTCCGCAGCAGTGCGGCACTTGAGTGGCGGACGACTAACAGTAGTCGTTTTATCCGCCGGCGCCCATGGACTTCCGCAGCAGTGCGGCATTAAGGTGGCGGACGACTAACAGTAGTCGCTTTAGCCGCTGCAGCTAACAGTAGCCGCAATTAAACTAATATCAGTATTAGTTAATACCTGTAATCACCGACCGCGGAATTGACGGGTGTTTGTTAGTAATATTGGAGTTTGGTAAATCGGAGTGGACAAGATAACCACCGACAGTTAGGTTTCGGCGCCCAAACCGTTGCAGAAAACCTTTACAGGATACAACAACTATCCCCCCCCAAATGCGACGTCCCCGTCGCACACGGATCGCTATGCAAAACAAGATTAGTGATAATAGCTAACGCGCTACCACCTGGGACTGCACCCTAAGACGAGCCGCATCGAGCAATGGTTTAAGGTCTGGGGTGAAGTTACACGCCGGTTCCCAGCTGTTGTGTTCGGACGAATACCCAGCCCATTTGACTAAGTACTCGTGCACAGTGCACTTGCGCCTAGCCTTACCCACGCGTCGAGTTTGATAGTCCAAAATTCGTTCCACTGCATACATGGTTTGCCTACCGGACAACCAAGTAGTGGGCGCGGCCTCTATAGCAGTAGGAGGCGCAGGCGCTTCCGGGATCCGCGCGGACAGTCCCTATCGCTGCCCCGGTGGTTCCTGTTAACCCTGTCGCTGCCCCAGTGCCTCAGGATCCCACGCCTGTCGCCGCTGTTCCGCCGCCGCCGTTGCTTGTNGCCTCCTCCGG